ATGCACTTAACATTCGTCTAATTTGCTAATGATGAGTATTGACGTTTTACAATTGAATAATAATATTCCTTCACCAAGTTATTTTTGAATTCATGCATACATTGTTTAGTACAGGTTGTTTGTACACGTACACGTCTTCTTTCGTATACTAATGTATGTTAAACAAACGTGGAAAGCAAAATTCAATTCAAAATTAGCTATCAAGTTTTCCTGGGATGTGCAGCGTTATTGGTACCACCCCATCATTTGACCTTATATTTACTTTTAATTGTATAATTTTTGGTAATTATTGGGGGTAGTCCTCGATAAATCATTTTTGATTTTGACTACCCCCTTCAACATTTGATGATTTTTTTCTTCTTTTTAAAACATACATAACTCCATATATGCTGTACATGTTCTATTATTGTATTGTATGTACCGGGTATGTATTTTATTTAAAGGTACTATGTCCCATTTGCAGGCCAAAAAAATGAAAACGTTAAATTCCAACGGCATTTGAAAGATAATACGAATTTAGAACTTCCCTAAAAAAAAAAAAGGGGGGGGGGGTTAAAATGTCTCTCAATGGGAAAATAACTACTACTATTAGTTGTCGAATCGACTTATGAGCTATAGAGCCAGTAAGTAATAGTCTGATTTTCAGACCATTGAACCGAATTTTCGTACGTTTTATGCTGCGCATAGATTCAATCAGTTTAATTTTGGCAAATACAAGAAGTGGGTTATTGATGTAGATATATGCTCATGTACCCTTTACAGCTCAGTTTATGTATGGTATTACCAAAGAAGAAAATAAGCCAGTCAGTCACTCAATAGTGGCTGACTATGAAGTCTAGCAAGTAAACGGGTTTCTTTGCATAATTTGAATATTAGGACACTGCTAACGTTTAAATTTCACAGATAAGACTTACATGACATAATCCATAATTCCTGCAAAGTTCTACAGAATTTGATGTTGGCTGCAAAAGGGACATAGTATCTTTAATGTATTTTCCTATGTTTGGCATTTGTGGAGAAATAAATTAAATTGAAATTGAATTGAATTGAATTGAAATTGTGTAGCGTCTATTCTTAGGGTGAACGGGGCGGGGGGCATGGCTTACATCGCTTTCAACAGCCATCTCTGTGATATACCTACCATCGTCCCACTCAACCCTAGTCCAGAATCTGCACGGTCCTTTATAATTTCCCTACACACTTGATTCAAACCGTCGAAGATGGCGTTATCAACAAACTAATAGTTATGCTCACCAGCCCAGCCTGAGGATATTTATTTTTTCGCAGGGCGTCCTAATTTAATGATCACGCCATCATCGGCTGGTAACAAGTAAGTAGGGAGAGGTAGCGTTGGTGTGGTGGAGATCAAAATTAAATAGGCCAGATTCTGGACTAATTCAACCCAAATTTATCACCACTCAACGTGAAAAAGATTTGTTTATTTCTACTAACCATAATTATGTTCATCAAATACCATTTTTTTTGTTTTGTTTTGTTTGTTTTTTTTTTTTGGGGGGGTGGGGGGGCTAATGATGAAAAGCACCGGTCGCACATTTCTTTTCAGGCCTGTGGTAGAGAACGGGTGTAGGGGTAGGAGGGGGGGGGGGGTCTCACCGTCTCATCTCACCCTTTTCCCGTTTCTCACCCCCCCCCCCCTCTCTCTCTCTTAAAATTGCTTTCTCTTACTGTATGTGTCTCTCTTTCAGTGGCGGATCCAATGGGGGGGGGGCTGGTAAAAGAAAACAGTTTTTTAAAAGATGGTAACCACAATTTGACCCTTTTTTTGCTCAAAGGGGGGGGGGGGAGGTGTTGAGTTAAAACAAATAAGGATTTTATTTTTAGTGCTTACTATCCCCCCGTCAATACACACATAAACCCACACCTCAAACACCCACACCCACCTTACACACATCCACCCCTCCACCTTCAGCCCCCCCCCCCCCACACACACACACGTTGCGTGACCTTGGCTGTTTGTTTGTGTGTATGCATACATCCCGGCATACATATGCCCCTGTAATGTGCTTTGATCATGGCTGTCGACAATTTGTGCCGTCAACATCCGGCATAAATTATTGTCGCCGTCGACAATTTGTACCGGTGGCGACAATTTGTGCCGTCAGGTTTTGCAAAATCGGCACAAGTTGTCGCCGTTGACATTTTGTGCCGCGGCGACAATTTTTGCCACAACAAACGTGCAAGTGTTTTTAAAAACCTTTTCAGGGACTTTTTGTTTAGAATATTGTCCCTGTGCAAAATCTGCTTTCTTTTTTTCTTTTTCTTTTTCTAATTTTACATTTTGACAATTACAGTGCATTGGGAGGCTGAAATGTTATCAACAAAGTTGTTAATTTCGTTCATTGATCTAAAATAAAAATGAAAAAAAAAATGACCACATGAGAGAAACGTAATTGGGTTGAACTTATCCAGTTAGTCTTTATTTCTGAAACAAAGGAATGACAAAAAGAAATGAGCGGCTAGAAATTAGAAATCTGTTTTTGCTGATTGTGTTTCTTTTTTATAGACTCATGTTCCCCCGACAATTGCAACGCGGTCAATGTCCAAGACTAGCCGAATTATCAACCTCTATTTCAACGCTAGATCGATCACTATAGTCATATAGTAACTTATGCGGATGATATGACAATTTTTGTTCGCAATAAAAATCAATTAATAGGTTAAAAGTATTATTTGCAGATTTCGAAAAAATTTCTGGACTGAAAATAAACAACGACAAGACTAAAATATTAAGGTTAGGTTTATGTCAACGTTTAGATTGTGATTTTGCTTTTGGCGAAATAGTTGACTTTCTTAAGGTTTTAGGGATTTTCTTTTCCCTCGATGAACACAAGAAAGAAGATCTAAATTATAAAGAAATCTTAAGTAAAATAAAAACACTTTTAAATTTTTGGAAGCAAAGAGATTTAACACTTATGGGTAAGATTCAACTATTGAAGGTGCACATTTATTCTAAAGTTCTTTATCGGGCGTCACTTACTCCTGTTCCAAAATGGGTTTATGATTCACTGGATGAATTAACTTTTGATTTCATATGGAAAGGAAAAACAGATAAAATCAATAGAAACACCATGTTCTTAGACTATAAGCAAGGGGGGTTAAAGATGTTAAATTTTTCTGCACAAGTTAAATCGCAGCGAATTATGTGGATTCAAAAACTTCTAAACAAAGATGAAGACATGAAATGGAAACAATATTTTAACTTTGTCACTGAACACGTGGGTGGAGATTTGATATTTTCATGTGACTATATACCAAGTTTATTAAAAGTGAAAGCTCCACAATTTTATATGGATTTATTAGAAGATTGGGTGAATACAAGACATATAAGGAGTATAGACATTGGTGATGTGGTAATTTTTAATAATAAACTTATTCGATATAAAGGAAGTTGTATATACGATAAGAGGTTGTATGACAAAGGAATTTACAAATTAAAACATATTCTGGAAAACGATGGTAAACTAAAATGTGACAGGCATTTTATCGATTTAGGTGTTGAAGTAAATGAAATTGAAAAGATCAAGCACTTTTATGCCTGTTTACCAGTTTGTTGGAAAAATAATTTTAGAAAGGGAGAAGAAAAAAATAATTCTGGAACTGATTTCACTTTGGGGAAGAAAACAACTAATATAGCTGATCTAAAATCAAAACAAATTTATGTACAATTAATAAAGAAAGATGATTTTAAACCTTTGGTTTTTGAGAGAATTGGAAGGAACTATGGTTTTTCCTGTAAGGAAATAGAAAACATATTTTTAAGACTAAGACAGTGTACACTTAACAGTCGATTAAGAGAGTTTCAGTTCAAACTTATACATAATATATTATATACAAACCATCACCTCTTCCGTTTTGGTCTTGTCTCGACTAAGTTATGCTCATTTTGCGAAAAAGATGAAGAAACATATAAACATTTATTCTATACTTGTGAATTTGCACAATCAGTGTGGGGAATGTGCACGAGATTTTTAGACTTTGAAATACACAACTGTAGTTTGGAGGAAATTCTGTATGGGAAAGAGGAGAGTAATAAAGGAAAATATCAATTAATGAATCATGTTTTAATTCTTGTTAAATATCTGATTTATAGAAATAGAGAACTTAAAAAACCACCCTCTTTTAATGAAATAAAGAATAGTATAATAGGGGATAAAGTAGAAGAAAGGAAATTGGCTGCAATGAGGGGAACTCTCACTATTCATTTTTCGAAATGGGAAAACCTGAGTATTAGACAAACAATTGGAACCCAGAGCCAGTCGTCCACCGGTTAAGAGGGGGGGGGGGAGGGGGATAAGGGAGAGGTCGGGTAGGGTAGAGTTAACAAAAAGAGAAAACTTTTTTCTCAGGACAACAGTATAAAAGAAGTATAAGTTGCTACATTGTTAAAACAAAAATTTTGGATTATATAACTGCATATGTTTTCTTTGAAAATATGAATTTTTGTGTCGAATATGATGTATAGGAACTAACTATGTAAGTTTTCTTTGAAGTCGTTTGTAAGACAAAAATTTATACTGATTTATAATGTCATCACATTTGCAGTGAGTGTTACATATGATGATTGTAATTTGTACTATGATTATAATTTGTTTCAAGAGAGAAAAGAATAAAAACTGACCATAAAAAAAAAAAATATATACACTAAAACTATTGCATGATAACACCGAAAAAAGTCCTAAACCCCAATTTGATAAAATAAAGACCCCTCCCCCCTTCACAACGTAATAAGAAACCGCGCGATTACCGTCACTAGGGAGTAACCCTATTCCGAGAAAAATAAACGACCTCTTACACGTTACGGCCAATATAGTTTCTGTCTCACAAAATATTGATACGCCCTGAAACAAGAGACGGCGATCTCGGAAAAGGGAATGGGGTGGGGGCACGTCCATAGGATACTTTTTTTTTTTTTTTAATTTAAAAAAAAAAAAAAAAAAAAAAAAAAAAAAAAAAAAAATTGGGGGGGGGGGGGGGGGGAGGGTTGCCCCATCCCTCAAAATTTAGTAAAATTCAAATTATTTAGTGAAATAACAATGAGTAAAGGACATAATACGCTTTATAGACTCTAATAAATGTGAACTAATACAAACTTTCTAGCTAGGTTTCTCCCTCCCTCGCAATAAAATACTTAAACTATAGATAATTGAAATAGGCCTAGTCATTCATCCAAAATATTTTACTTTTTTCCGTATCTGCAATTACATATTTACCACACAAAAACAAATGCATAAAGAAATCAGTTTCATGAACGAAACAAATTGGAAATCTTTGATAAAACTATATACACAAAGAAAGGGTATCAGTCTTGCGATAACATCAAAGTTTTGTTTTTATGCCCTTACTTAAAAAAAATATCTTTAACACAAATCACTACTTTCTTATCATGTGTCCGATTTCGGCAAAACTCTTATTTTTGCTCTTGCGTTTTATAAAATCTAATCATGTTGATTTGCTTACCTCTATCTATTGGTTTTAATTCATTATACGAGCAGTAACCAAATCAAAATTTTGAAGAAGAAAGGGTGTCTTGTTTTAAAGGTTTTCTACTGAAAATGTGATAATATAACAGTGATTTTCTCATCAAAGTTTAGATATTTATGTACATAAGTAGGCTAATATATTTTTTTTTACTACATCAATATCGAGAAACCATTTTTCAATGGCAGTATCAGCATTTATAAACATCATAAGCCCGAACATATCTCGGCTCCTTTTATATAGGAAAGACTAACATAAATGCATCACGTGTGAAAATTGAAATGATTGTCATCATTACCTTGTTTCCACATGACTTTTCAAATGAAATAAACATGTATTTTTACACTGAATTACATTCGCACTATCATACACTTTTAGAAAATGGATGGTAATAGATATCACTTTGATATTATTAAAGGCACATGATGCTCCTTGGCTGTATTTACAGACTCTTAAAGTATAGAATGATAGATCTTCAAGTTAAAGAGATAAAACCCCACAAATGTTATTTGTTCTTTGAAAGAGATATCACCTCTTCTGATGATTTCCAGATTAATTTTGCTAATTGAAGGTGCATTTGAACGTAATAATAATTGTGAAACGTTATATGACTAATGCATGTAAGTATGTCACGTTAAAATTGTTGACTGGTCACCGATTATATCTGTAATGTTGAAGGTAAAACGGGCTGAGATTTGATTGTATTCATAAAAGAAACATACTGTTTACCTGTTATAACCTTTGCCCTGTTAAAACTTTTCCATATTCTGAATATGCATTGGATTTTATCTCCATTAAAACCAGGAATCCTTATTCAACACCCTAAACATCCTCCTCCTTATCGTCATCTTGGTCTTGGCCATTGGCGTCTTTGTCATCTAATATATCCCAATCTTCTGCCGAGAAAACACGAATCCCATCCCCCGTGTGCATGATCACGAGGTCGTTTCCATAGTTACCAATGACTGGCCACTCGTCTGACTGGAAGTCTGCCGACACGTCGAGCTCGTCGATGATGTACTCGAGGGGACCACCATCTTCCAAGGAATGCTTGGCGAGCGTGACGATGTGGCTGCCCCAGAAGGCGGACAGAACGTAGAGGGCGTCACTCTCTGTGCAGGAGATGGACAAGTACATCCTGCCAGGCTCCTTGATTTCAAGCTGGACTCTCCCGTCTTTGTCAGTGATGATGACGGCTTTCTTGTCTCCGCGCAGGAACACCAACTGACCTGTCTTCGCCGCAGCAAGACTTCTAACCCTATCAAGTGGAACCTCGAAATTATCTGAAGATAACTGAGACGAGCTTTTCTCAGTTTTTTCCCTATAGATTTTCGTGGATATTGTGAAGATGTCTGATCCTGCTTTTGGGATATCCGGCCTCGTTTCCTTTCCTTTCGAATCCGAAGGAGAGAGGGTGCCTTCTGCCTTGCTTAGAGACTTGGCACTGCCGATAGCAGATACTGTAAGAATAAAACAAGATAAAACAAAAGGCTTGGATTGCAACAGCTGAAAGAATGACAGACCGTTGTCTGATATTACTGCCGCTTTCATAATTTTATACAATTTAGTTCTTCAACTCATCAAAATATTCAGACACTATATTTGTGATTTGATTCCAGACTTAATGAATACAAAAACAGTACACAAAATGTATTAGTATATTGGGGCATCGCAATGAAAAAGCTTTGACGAAAGCTTGATATAATTATGTGTTATACCTGTCAAACCTGTCTATAGCGACCGCCCAAGGGAAACACAAACAGTGGCCTTTATAGACAGGTTCCTTTAGTGCATGATTCAATTAGAAACCATTTTCAAGGGAAACAAGAAATGTGGTCTTTGTAGACAGGTGGTCACGAAAGCAGGTTTGACTGTACATTTACGTTGTACACATTACGTGCTACGCATCAACCCATACACAGATGGGTGGGTCGGCTTTTATGTTGATGTGACTATTTCGAATAAAATCCAATCCATTTGTTAAAGGCCCCCTAAAGTGTTAGGAGCCCCAAAAATTTAATGGCAAACTTAAATTGTATTATAATGTGTAGGAAGATGTCATATAAGATACATTTCTGCAAGGATTTTCAAAACAAATGTGTTTGAAGTCGGATATTGATAAAAGAATACAAAATGTAGGTTTTTCTGCGTACAACAGAAAACCCAAATTATGTATTCTTTTATCAATATTTGCCTTCAAAACACTTTTTTTTTTAATGGGGGGGGGGGGGAGGGTTGCTGAAGTGTGTCTTAAATGACATTCTCTTTCACGTTGTGATACAATATAAGTGAATCTTTGCAAATAGATTTTTGACGAATTTGGGACTCCCAACACTTTAGAGGGGCCTTAAAATTGCATTATAATTATTAATGCGTTTTTACGTAAAAGAGGAAAATGTCTTCACTCACGATGAAGGCAATCTTGAGTACTAGTTATGGCAGGGGGTGAGTGGGGGGGGGGGCACATGAAATAATATCCTTTATATTGAAATGTGAGAGGATTTTATAGCGTTTGAAAATAACATTTACATCACTTGACTTTAACTGTTCAATATACCTGTCTGAGAGCCTTCTACAACCGGAGATGATGTCGGTTTTTTCTGTTTGGTTTCGCTGACCGGTTCGGACTCTGATGAGGTTGTCTGACTTGAACTTGATATGGCTGGCTTGTTATCGGCAACGACGATGAGGGACTGGGAATCAACAGTGAGTCTTGCACTGGGATTCAGAGGACATGGTGGGACCGTTGTGTGTTCATCCGATTTTGGGAAATCTTCCAGTTTCAACCTGTAGAGTTGCGTGCAAGCTGCGTCGGTATCAGCAATGAAAGAGAAGGTTTGGTCCTTCATTGATATGGCCACATCTACCACCTGTTTGATGCTTGCATTAAGTTGAAGATTCAACCAGATGGACGGTTTGGCTTCGCTAGACAACAGTTTCTTGTAAATCACCTTCTTGCAAGCAACGTACATTGCCTTTCCATCGGAGAAAATGTTCACAATGTCTTTATCAGGAATCGGAAACATCAGAGTCTCTCGCCAAACACGCGACAACGACAGCTTGGCAAAGCGCGCCATTTGCTCTGGCATCTTCGATCCTTCTATCATGGTAGATTTCAAAGCCACGAGATCCACAGAAATTGTCATAGTGACATCTGACGCGATCAATTCTTCGAGTTCTTTGAGAACATCTTCAGGTAAGAAGGGACCTCTAGATATGTCAGTAACCTCTTTGGCTGAAACAACCTCTTTAGCCTTTGATTGTGCCCTCGTGAGATTTTCTTTTGTTGTGTTCATATTGTCTCTGAAAGCTTGTAGTTTGACGTTAAGCTTTTCCTCCAACACGTCAACCTTCTGCAAAAGTTCTTCCTCTGCTTTATCCAAATTGTCAACAGCCTTTGACTTCTGGTCCCGAATACTTTTTTTCATCTTATGAAACTTCTGGTTTGCTCCTGTTTCTCGTGCATCCACATCATTTAACATTGTGCTCACATGTTCCTCCTTTTCCTCGCAGGTTTTCAAACGATCTTGTAACTTCTCCTTTGTTTCCTGAAACATCTTCTGCACTGTGGTGCAGTCATGGTCAGGTTTGGTATGGTCGAGAACTATACAGTCCCTGCAGATACGTTTCTTGCAGGTCCTGCAGTAGAATCTCCGCAGTTCACCGCCATGCTCTTCGCACTCGTGTGCCTTTCTCCACAAGCCCTCTTCCATCCACTTGATTTTGATAGTCCCGTTCTCAATCTTGTCCAGGGGAACTGTACGGTGATCTTTCATCAAGAGTTTCATTTTAGAATGGGAAGAAGCGCATGAGTCACAGATGAAATGGAGACAGTCTCGGCAGTAGGTTGTCAGGGGTGATTCGCTGTCCCCACAAGCGTCACATATTATTTGGGTCGAGTTTTTCTTTGCCTCAAGGACTTCGAGAACCCGGTAAATCAGCGGATTGGACTTGAGACCTGCCACACCTACTCTCGGAAGAGTAGTCACCTCTCTGCACATAGGGCATTTTATACCGCCTGAACGGCCTTGTGATGCCTTATCGCACTGCTTCAAACATTCTTCGCAGAAAGTATGCCTGCATGAGAGAGATTTGGGGTTCTTTAAAGTGTTCATGCAAACGGCACAGACGAGTTCACGGACGAGTTTTTCCACAGCTTTTGCCGCCATTTTCTGTAGAATTTCTATATTTCAACAGGCCACGATAAAGCGTGCTAACTGGTCGACACACAAGTATCAAATGCAATGCCGGAAGAGAACGACTCCTGTTGAATGCAATATCTGATCGATGACTATAACGCGTTCTGTGTATTACTGGCAAAAATTACGGTGGGAATCCCCATCGCTAATATTAAACATTAGAATCAAATAAGTTTCTTCAATGCAAATATTAAACATTGAAGTCCCCCACTCCCTTTTTAGAATCGAGGTTGGATATGAAAACAATATTAAAGGATGTATTGGAAGGAAGAGAGGAAGGAAGTAGACCTAGAGGGAGACCCAGAATCAGCTGGGAAGAGAATGTCAAGAACTGGAGTGGACTAAAACTGCAAGAGTGCACCAGAATGGCAGAAGATAGAGTGAAATGGAGAGATGTTGCAATCAACCTCCGAACCGGGAGAAAATACTCAGATAGATAGATTATATGAAAACAAATGAGGGCGCTGTTTTTTTCTCTCAAGATTTTAGCTTTGCTATTAATTTTCATTAATATGAACATTCAAGTTTTCTTCGTATTGAATAGAAAGATTTAAGTGAAAAATAGCGTAAAAGCCTATTTACCCTTTAAAAACTTGCAGAGGTTGATGATTCACTGACAGACCTCGAAGCTCCGGAAATTAACTGCCGCGAGAGGACCCCCCCCCCTTTTTTTTTTTGGCAAGCACTGACGTGTGCTTACACGGTAAACAATGCTCATGCATCTGCATTGAGAAATTATGTTCTACTGAGGCTCAGCAAAATGTATTCTAAGAAATATCTACCTGGTAGAATTAAGAGCAATGACTCGGTGTTCCTTTCCGTTGGCATATAGCGAGGGGGGGGGGGTGTTGAGAAAAAAAAGGAGTGTTCACCCCCCCCCCCCCCCCCGTTGAGCAAAACAAATAATAATAATAATTAGTGCTTACCTACCCCCCCCCCCCCCCCCCCCCCCCGCTTATTCGCCACTGGCTGATTCGCCGCTAAATATTTTCTCACGAATTGGGAGAAGAAAAAATAGCGCTCCTTACTCCCCCCCCCCCCCCCCGAAATGTACAACTTTTCATTATCATCATTAATATTATTAGTATTATTTAGTTATTATTATTGATATTATCATCATCATTATTATTAACATCATTGGTACTGTCGTTATTATTGTCATCATCACCATTATCGTTATCGAAAGTACAATTCTGGTATGTGAATATAAATATAATCGAATCAGGGTGTATTTTTGTATTTGGAATACTGTAACAAGGGCCAAGGTGGATTATTTTGTTTACATGCTTTCATTACTTTTAAGCCCCGATCCTAGCATATATCCGACAACAATTTTTGTTTTTAATCGGACAACGGGTATACCACGCAGAATCCAGAAACTGCAGTTACCCTGTTTAATATACACCCAAAGCCTAATACGATTAATTAAATATTAAAATATGCTTTGAACTGTGAGAAAAATAACATTCATATTTTTATCAAATTACTCTATTAATGTGCCAAATTTCAACATATTTTGTTGCTCCAAACCCAAAACTCCAGCTGTAAGATGACCGAAATAGCCTGAACTAACCAAGCTGCTACAGAGTATGTACAGAAGCAGAATGCACCAACATCAATGGATGCTACATCCATGAAGGAAGAAGGAGAAAATAAGAAAGTGTGCGGGAGAGAGAGAGAGAGAGGGGGGGGGGTACCACTTACACATAAGAAAAAGAAGGGTAGAGATACAAAGAGAGGTGATTCGATGGAGAGAAGAGATAAGAAGAGAGTATTAAAGAAGACAGAAAAATATTGACAGAGAAGTTATAAAAGGGAGAGGGGGCAGAGATTGATGGAAAAGAGAGAAGAAACAAAAAATTGGAAATAGAAATACACGGGTATGAAGTGAGAGAAGAGACAGAGAGAAAGAAAGACGTTTATACAACGGAGAACATATAGTTATAGACAGGCGCGTACGCAGGATTTTTTCAAGGGGGGGTTTTAACATTTATAAATCGGTCCGAAAATTTCGCAACGACTCAGCCAGCCGCTGAATAAGAGAGGGGGGGGGGTAAGAGGACACTTTTTTCTTTTTTTTTTGGTCTCGAAATTTGGAAATTTGACATTTTGCTCCGTTGGGGGGGGGGTAAGGTCACCTTTTTTAGGTCGGCCATGGGAATAATTTTTTTTTTTTTTTTTTTTTTTATTAAAAAAAAAAAAAAAAAAAAAAAAAAAAAAAATCCAAAAGGGGGGGTTTTAGGTTTTTTTTAGGGGGGTTTACACACAAAAAATTTCCAAAGGGGGGGGTTTAACCCCCCAACCCCCCCCCCCCCCCTGCGTACGCGCCTGGTTATAGATAAACTTCAAGAATCAAAGGGTTGTACCAAGATAAATTAGATAATGATAATGCACTATCCAGACAAGGATCGAGTCAAAAGCAACGGTAAGCGTTGCCAAATAAAAGTTGAACTGTTCATACATCTTTCTTTATTGTCATTGAGGCTTGTTCAGATATGCGCAGAAAAGCTGCCCTTTTTTTTGTTTTATCTTTTTGCCGTGACATACCTACACGAGCCTTTATGGTGTGCCCACTACGAGCAGGCATATCAATTTGTCAATGTTTATTAAACATCAATTTTCACAGGGAATGTTGGTCCCCCCCCCCCCCCCTATCTATCTCTCTCTATGTTAACTACTTTATTCCCTTTCCTCCTAGAAAGTATCTTCAATATATTGCATCTTGGTACCACCTGCATCTCACATTCTGTTTCATTCATTTTCTCCTTTTCTCCTATTTCCCTTCCCGATTATCGATCACTCCCATTCTTCCTCCAGCTATTTTTCATTCTTGCTTTTTTCTCAAATTCCTTCTCTCTTTCATTCCACATATCAAATATACATTATTTATTCACTATTTGCTATATATTACTTCAAGTGGAATGATATTTGAAGTGACTGATAAGCCTTATGCTACGGTCACAAAAGTTCGTACGAACGACAATTTTGTACGAATCTCCGTTTTTCCATTGTCTTCCCGTATTTCCATTGTCTGAAAATTGTTTGTACGGCGGCGTTCGTAGCAGTTCGTAATGGCATTTGTGACCGAGGCTTGAACTTCATGAAAGCGGTCTCTGTGTACCACATTTTGTTTTCTTGATCACATCTTGTTTTCTCTTTCACATTTCCCCCCTTGTATCTAGCTGCCAAACTAAATTAATTTTCAGCTTTAAGATACAAATCTTTTTCTGTTAATCAAAATCAACATCAAATATTAATTCCTAAAAATAGTCAAAACAAAAGTCAAGAATTCACACTGCAATATCGTATCTCTTTCTTCAGTGTAAAGTACAGTCATTGATATATTATTTGTCATTCATAAAATATAATCCTCATACATCTACATTGTCCTAATCACAACAAAACTATTGACGTCGAAAGCAGCTACATGTTCATCTTTCTGTAAACCAAAATCAAAATTCTGTGACACATCTGTTTTACATCAGACCTTATCAGCACTAGGATAGTGTTTAGAATAGGGTCGTCATTCGTGATGTATACATGAATGGAGTTGGCTATAGAAAGGAACATGTACCTGCCACAAGATCAAATTGGTGTATACATGGATAGTAGAAATAAACAGTAGTAGTACCACATCTGATTCCATTATAAAAAGTATTTAAAACAAGAAAAAACAATCATAATGATGAATAAAACAAAATTAACAAACCGAAATAAAGACAAATTTAACTGAAAATCATACTGTTCAAGTTAGGGCTGAATAATATGCTATAATTTGCACTTGTGTCTTTTTTTGTAGCATTCTTTAAGTTCTAACATTAATCACATCACACACACAATTATACCTGAATATGAGTTCATTTGAAACCAATTTTGTCAAAACTAGACACAATTATTGAATTTCTTGATCTATGACATCAACAGATGTGTTAAGTAAAGCTTGTTTGGATATGAGGCAAGATAATTCTCATCATGAAATGTTGAGGATTTCAAATCATTGAAATGTTGAATGCATTTATTTGGATTAAAGGTCAAAGGTCAGAATAGTGCCAACTTTGGGGAGATGCTAGAAGCATTAGGAGCTATGTATAGGTCAAAATGGAACAATATCCCACTTTACATCAGATAATTAATTTGTCTTGCCAACTTTCAAAAGATCCGTTAAAGTATATCTCTTCCCTCAGAAATATAAATGATCTATACCTATTTTATTACTTTCATATATTTCTCTTCACATTCTACGATTTTGTAAGTGCCATGATACATTTTGTTTTTAGTGCTCCTAGATAATCAAAACTGTTATCATTACTAAGGTTGGAAGGTTTACAACTTTGGTGATTCGTTAGTGGCAGCAGGGGGGTGTTACACAAAGACTATTAAAGATCGACTTTCAGTTGGACTTAACTATGACAGGCAATTCATGCCACTGGTTGCACTCACTATTGGTCTCTCAAGGGACTTCACAAATCTACAGAATTCACATTTTTGGATACCCGGTAGTTTATTATTCACAGAAAAAAACAGTATCTAAAGATCAAAATTTCTAAGATTTTTTCCCTCTAATTTTACAACTGGTTCAAGAATTTTTAAGGGCATAAATCGCCTGCCATAGTTCAAGTCCAAATTAAAGTTGATCTTAGTCTTTGTGAAACACTCCCCAGGAGTTATAAAAAGGGTCATAAGTTTGGAGGGGTTACAACTTTGGTGATA